GTGGTTTCGCTCGTGCAGGTTTCGCGTAGCCTCCTGCTCATCAGCCTCACGTATAGATCGACGTCAAACTCGCTCAGCCACGCTCACAACGCGAGAATTCTCAGAGGGCGGGCAGGCAGGGCAGAGCGGTGGGCAAGGTGGTCAAAGCGGCTACGGCGCGGCGGAAACTACGGCGCACAGGGCGGCGGCTTCGCCGGCGCCCCGGCCGCGGCGAGCGCAGGTGGCAACGCACCCTTCGACCCCACACAGCTTGCCCAGCTATACACGTATGATGCAGCAGATGGGCATGAACCCCATGATGGCAGGAGGCATGAACATGATGGGCGGCATGGGCGGAGGTTCGGCGGTGGGATGAGCGGTGGCCGCATGATGCCTGGCATGGGCATGGGCATGGGTGGCGGTATGAGTCCTGGCATGGGTATGGGCCGCGGCGGCGCAGGTATGGGCGGACCCGGTGCGATGAGCCCTGGAGGAAGCATGGGCCCGAACGTCCCTCGTGGCCCACGCAACGGTCCCGGAGGCCCCGGAGGACCTGCGGGTGTAGGCCCGCAACGCGCCGGCCAGCGCGGTCAGCACAACTACCATCCTTACGCCCGGTGATTGGACGTCCTTCAAGGACTTTGCGATGTTGCTACGATATTCCGTTGTTGTGTAGTGACTGGCAATAGTTGCGCCCAGTATGACCACCACTTATGTTATGTCCTAAGCTTAGATATTCAGTCCTTAAGGGATAATGTAACTTTGTGGTCGTCGCGTCCTGGCAAGATCGCGTAGAGCAATCATGTTCACCTATCACGCAGTGGAAGCTCTGGAGCACCTCCACTACCTTGCTACTCTCAGCGTGGCCTCGCGCGAAAGCGATGTAGCAATCGCACTGTTAATACTATGAAGGAACATGACACGTAGGTCGCCCTAGCTTCTCATTCAAGTAGACATCTTCATTACATTGCATGAGTTCCGTTATAAATCGTGAATACACGTACATACTACCAACAACATCATATACGTTTACGAAGAGAATTGACCCTGGCATTGCCATCACACCTCGGTGGCTCCAACGACGTACGGCTTGATCTTGCTGAGATGCGCGATCGTCTCATCGGATATCTGGAGATGCTCCTTGACGAGCGCAGGCGGCGTGAGCGCAAGCCACTGCGGAAAGGTCAGTCTACAATCGGTGATGGTGTAAATAACGGGCCTGACCTGGTTCAAGCTCACGTCCACCACGAGATCTGTGCCGTCTGCGTTAGATCTGAAGTTACGTTAGATGACAGATGACATACTGTTGTTGAAGATCTCTAGGTAATGGAGGGTGTCATTGCCGATGTTCTCCACGTAATGACCTATGAGACACGTCAATGGTCAAACGACGAGTGCTGAAGTGGCCGTAGAGAGGACTGACCATAGGACGCGGGAACAAATCCGATATCACCGGCCTGTCACATCCACCTAAGAAATATGGCCCACTTGGAGAATAGTAGACTTACCACGTAGTTGAAAGTCTGAGCGGTCGAACTCGAGGCGAACTCCGTCACACGAGCAGACCCCGATCTGATCATAAGTTAGCTCAAGCAATGTAATGTTTAATGAAGACCACAAACATGTAATAGGTCCACTCGTCTTCCGTTGGATGCCACTATGGGTGCCTCAGGAGTCAATACTTAGTCTACTTTGAGTTGTGCGCAAACTCACGTGCAACTCCCTAATACGAAGACGCGGGGTCAGATTATCAAGAACAGGAAAGGAGTGTGTTTCACGGACCTCATTCCTCCGGGCTCGACCCAAACTTCGGCAAGGGCAATTGTAGTAGACACAGTAAAGTTCCGCGAGTCGGCGATCTTGAGAGCGCCTCCAGCGAGCTGTGTTGCATTGGTTTGGGACAGCTTGTAGATGTACGGGTTTGGCACTTGTCCTTGAGGGTCCTCAGGTGCCGTTGCATCCGGCGACGGAGATTCTGATTACCAACGTGAGTGATGACGTTTTGGCACAAGCGCATCAACTCACCACCGGGGAAGATGTATAGTTGCTCGCCGGGAATATCGTTCCAAGCCGCCAAACTCGTTCCGAAGTTTTTGGCTATGACCTCCTTCGGCGTGTGCGCCAGCCAGTCTGTCAGCTGTAGGAGGCTGTTAGGCGCGATGCAAAAGATCAGCACTAAACAACGACTCACAAGGAATGTAGAGCCGTCACTGAAGTCACCATTGTCGAAGATCTGCTACGGAGTGAACCCCAGTCGATAACGCACTTGAAGGAGAGCGGACATACGAGGAGAAACTCGGATCCGCCTTCCGTCTGATTCGTCGCCTGAAGGCTGTGAGGAATACCCGGCGGGAAGTACCATAAGTCGCCAGGTCCCTGAACCGAGGTCAGGGAAGCAAGACCGCTGAACGCAATGCTCGTACCACGGTGCCCACGAAGTTGCGTCCATCTTGGTCTACCGCTGAGACTTGTGTGTAGCCCTAAACAGAAAGCGCGTCAGTATATCTGACTCCAAAGTATTGCGGTAGCCAGCTAACACTCAGTACATACGCCCACTGCAATATGGGTTAGTCACACATCGTCTTGGATTGTAAGTAGTGACTCGCCTCGGACGTCTTATGCCAATGCAGCTCGCTGTGATGGTGCAGCTAAGCTTATGTAATTCAGCAAACACGCATTCTTGCCGCTTACCGAATAGCTCCGGGTTCCAAGCGCATGTCGACACCAGCCATAGCTGTGAATGTCTCAGCAAACATCTGGTGTATAACGAATTACCAACGCACATGTGGCTACGGGCATTTGATTGACTATTGGAGACCACGACCTTAGCAGTGGAAAACAATACGACCGTGACCGTGCTGAGATACGTACTGTTCTGTTGACGAGCAAAACCGCCAGTGTTCAGACGCGTTGGACTCAGACTGAATGGCCATTTCACGTTGGGACTAGGGGGCTGTTAGTAGGCGAAGGCTCTATGTAAGTGTAACATACATCGTGTTCTGGTCCGTAGTAGGCGGCGCGAGGAGATCTGGGTTCTGCTGCTGAAGCGGGACATTCTGCTGGGCCAAGATGGTCCCACCGAGCTGTCCGCGTATGGGCTGAGGGTTGGTGTCCGTCGTAGTGTTCCACAGGATACCGTTGGGGTTGTCACTAGCAAGAGCGACGGTCTCGCTAGGCTCCGCGGCAGACGCTACGCTTGACCCAGACGCTGATATGGCGGCCGGGGCAGCAGCCGTCAGGCAAGAGGCGAACACGGCAGTGAGCACGAATGATAGGAGTCTAGACATCATGGGACAGGATGTACGAGGCCTAGCAAGACACAATGTAGGGGTCAGCTTATATACCGGCAAGGTGCAAGATAAGCGCACACAGAACACCACTGCTCACCTTCCTGCAGTTTGAAACACCGTGACAAATTCAGCACGACATTGTGTCGTTGCGCAGCTTGCGCTAACGCTTCATGCGAGGGACGGAACTCATGTATCCGTCACAACGGTGTATGGGGGGGCTGAATTGAGGTGCCGAGCAGCAAACATGACCACGAGCTGCTGCGTGCAAGGGTAATCATTTCAACTAGCCTCGGTAGCCAACTTCTCGTCCTAAAGACGGCCTTTCAGCGCTTTTTGAATACGTTGGCGAATAACAGCAAGCAGACCTTTACGCGCTCTGACACCACTAGTAGCTTCGTGGCCTCTGCTTCATAGACATATCTTGCTTCGGCATGATCCTGTCAAATCCAATCGGATGGCACGGGGAAACAGTAGCGGTAGAACGTCCGATGGGGTAACCACAGACACGGCGGCGAGCCATAGGTCGGCAAATGGTACCGATGCCCGCGGAAGTTGACCCCAGAATGAAATCTTCCTAATTTGAACTCCTGCGGGTGTTATTTTGAGAATGAAGTCGAACAACGTCGCACAAAGAACTCATGTTAATCCCTGATTCCAATTCCTCTCTGCCCAACATCTTGGACATCCACATGAAGGGCTCCGAGTGAGAACTAAGTGGCGCGCGTCAGCTAGTCGCCATGCGATACGAAAAGCTATGCACCAACGTTACACCCCACTCAGCAACCAGAAGCGATTACGTATGATATATGAACTCTGCACGGTATGCGGGCGCTCAATTCAATGCGGTTACAACCAATAACTTCTGTTGTTCGTTCCGTTGCGGTCGGAAGTCGTTGTCAAATGTACGGGGCGGTCACTAGTGTATCAACAGCCACGCTGTTACCTGTAGGTTGTCGCCGTCTCGCCACCGTGTTCCCTATCGCAATTGGTGGATCTGAATCTGTGTTGTGGAGTTGTGAACACGTTCAGCCTACAGTCAACGGCATTCCTACCACGCGACGGCCCCTACTACGTACAATTAGCAGCAACGTGGCGGACTTGGACCTGAAAGTCATGGTCGCAGGTATCTTGACTCGCCTTCTGCTGTGCAATGCGGTACACTGTGAACTAGATGGCGCCCGCTCAGAACGCCATCTCCGGCCCGTTACATCGTGCAAGTATGGAGTGATGGCGACACCTTTCAAATGACAGTGCATGAGGTTTTTTCATAAGCGCAGAGCATGGACCATACCACTCTCATATCAATGGGTAGAGATGCCAGCGTGCTAGAGCAGATGATCAGACTCGGATGATCGAGGAAAGGCACGTCCGTAAGAGCACTTGTGGGAGTTGTGACACGGAACATCGGTCGTCTCGGAACTTTCAGGAACCTTCTACAAGAAAGAGCAGGATACAAATTCCAATTACAAGCGAAAGCGGTGCCCGGACTCAGATAAGTTGACTCGAATGCGAAATCGATGCTTGAGCCTGTTGAAACTTGACTTAGATGCAATACGTCGAGAAATGGTGGAGTAGCATCGGACATACCTGCTATGCCACTCTTCATTTTTCAAATCGGAGACAATGATTTCAGGAGGTCCTGAGGAGGACTGCGCATCGAAGGTCCGAAGGCCAGAAGCATAGACGTGAGAGAGGTCTGCTTATCAGGGTCAGCACCTACCATGTGCTCGCGGGTACGTACCGCCCAGGAATCGTGAATGTACACAGCTACCGCCTCAGCGCGCTCGCGCGACGCGCAACGTCCAGATGTCAGGACCTTCGAAGCATGCCGATGGGTCTCAGGCTCCCAGTGCGCAACCTGAGCTCTGAGTCACCGATCTGCTTTCACGTTGCATTAGCACTGTCAGTGAAGCTCGAGCCACGACGGGGATAGTAGAGATGTAGGCCAGTATGTCTGTTTGGTAAATAGCCAGGTCTGACAGAAGTCACACGCACTGAGGAATCTGTACGCATTTGAAATTGATTTTTGAGCGTTGCGTGTATTGACCCGATCAGATCTGGAGACGGTCACGGGAACATGTACGACGCGGCCACAGAACGGCTAACCATTTAGGCTCAGCGGTGTTAGTATCGCGACTGTAGTTCACCGCAAGTCTACGGCTATACAGCAATGTAGCATCTTCGATCGCAGGATACCGTCTTCCAAGCCCCGGTATTAATGAACAGCTCGCTAATTTCAATCATGATAACGTCGCATACTTAGCTTGCGCCTCTCCTTAGTAAGCGACTTGCCATGGGCCCGAGAGGGGCGGCGACTTAGCGTGTCATTGACAGTGTCGGAACAGACATGCCAGAAGTCGTTTGTACGCTAACAGCGGCGGAGCGTCCCGATAGCGACCTAACGACCTATTTTGACCCGTGAAGCTTGCGTCCGAGCGTCGCAGTAATCAGATGGGCCTCCGAGTCTTAGCGAGTCATCGGCGAAAGCGTTCACCTCGAGTATGAAATTTCTATCGCTGAGAGCACACTTATATTCCGGGCCAGCAACACTGCGTATGTCAACGGGCATTGCAAGTCGGAGTCGCCCATTTCTTCTATATCTGTGGGGCGCGCGCTCAGGTATATTCTCGTA